TAAAAATAACTTAAATCTAGTATTGAACATGGTTAACATAAGACAATTATCAAATATTACTGTACCTTCAATGCACAGAAAAATAACTTAATCTACTTACTTATATAATATATATAGGATCAAAAATATATAATATTATTATGCTACCATTAGTCATCAAAAAAACTCTGTATCCTTAAATACTTTAAAAAAAAAAATAACTAACTGGCTGCACACATATTTTTATGTTGAGATGCCACACGGTTGCGTCGTCGTCGTACACCCGTCTCGAAATTGACAAAATTTAATTTTTCATTCACATGGATGGAATCCGGTTATTATTATATTTACGACATTTATTCCGTTAAAGAGAAAAAACACGCCATCGCAGTTGTAGATGTATTCTTTCCTTGTTTTGTTAACAATCCAAAATGGACAACGTTCGACAAAATAAGCTTGAATGTTATAATAATTGGCGGTCGTGTATAGTTTTTTCCGTGTATTATTTAATTATATAGAATACTAGAGCGAATCTCTGAGGTTCCTATGAGGTTCATCAGCAATTTCATTTAGTTATACGAATAATATAAATCAAATATACAAAAATAATAAGTCACGTAAAACGTTTACTATATTTTTAAAGTTACGCATTTATTGCTATATATTGTCTATAAACTACTGGCTATTGTTGCAATTACAAATCTCAAATTACCAGTAGCGAATTACCAATATTTTTCTAGGAAGGGCCCAGAAAAATCATATGTATTTTAAAGGTATTAATAAATGTCCCTTTTTTGGAAGATATTTTATTGAAATTATGTCGGTATTTAGAGAGTGGTCCAGACCCCCTGGACATCTGCCACTGCAAATAACGATGAGCTTTGAGTTTAGCTGAGTTTAACTATATTATTATATTCCGGAAAACGTTTTGGTTTCACTATGCTGTTGATTAATTATTGCACCTTGTATTTTTAAGAATCACAATTTTCCAGTGATGAATTTATAAAGGGGATATGGAGAATAGATCCTCTCCTTTGCCCTTTTTTTTTAAACCCGGTATAAATTGCAGTATAGTTATTGTTACTTATAATTTTATTATTCTGTGGGCTATAAGTAACATTACACAATAAAAACAACTAAATTAAAATAAGACCGTCCAGGCAAAGCCGGGTAAAAAAAATTTGCTAGTACTATAGAATAAAATTAGCCCCCTGATATACTGATACTGAAATATTCAGTGCACGAAATTACTTGCGGCCAACTTTTTAAATTTTTATTCAAAATATTAGTACCTATATTATTCGTAACTTTATTTTCGGATGTTAATGTACTGATACAAAGTTTCGAACAAAATATTATAGTTTCACTATTTATGGGGCATTCGATGTTTCGTTGAGAGGTCGAGTGCAAAATACAGACGACAAAATAATTATAATATTATATATAGGCCCGAAATAAATAATATTACATAAACTGCGTATACTCAGGAAAAACTTTTAATATAAATTACAAACTATTAAAATTCAATATTATCTCGCGCATATTCATTGACGGTTTCATTTAAAATGTCTCGATTTCTATAGTTTAAAAATAAAATAAATCGTCGAGATAAAAATAAATCTCCGTCAAAAACACGCGGATTTACGAATAATAATAAATTTAACCGTTGAACTGACGCGACGTAAACTGTTTATTTGAACTTAGGATTTTGTTTTCCATTTTTTTTTTTTTATTTCTGCAGAATTGGGGGAAGGGCCATCTACGTAAATAGTGACACGCGAGAAAATGCATGCAATCCGTAATTGGAAAATAACTTTCGCTTTTTGTTTTCTATAGGTATTTGCCTACACCATACCCTAACCAGTAACCACAGTATATAATTTCCGGCAAATCCAATTTGATAGTTCACTGGGCCCCGCTGACAAGATGTACAAAAAATGGGCAGCTGTTTTTCTGTAGTGATTTTTCTCCTTTTTTTTTTTGTCTTTGTTTTTTTTTTGTTTTCTTTCCGCTCGGGAATTTTCATTTCGAATAATCGTTATAATACAGTACATTTTGCCTCGTGTTCGGTTTTCACAATAAAAAGGGGAACGACTACATAGGGCGACGACGGCGTCCGTTTAAAATGCCGGACACGCGAGACGGACTGCGCGTTTTATTCTTGGCTGCCACCCGAATTGCACACTAAACAGAATAAATCGAAAATAAAAAACAACGAAAAGTTGAAATTCCGGAAAACTATAATGGTTTTTTTCTATCGTCCGTATATAACAATACGATACTATTACCATCTATTTTTACCCAGTTTATTTTGTACGTTTCAAACTGATAAAACAACTGAAAAAAACTAATACTGTCTTAAAAATGTTATAATATTTCTATGGTTACCCCAAAAAGTAAATGAAAAGACGGTTGCTAATATATAATAGATATAGATATAGATACACGGAATGAATCAGATACAAGTTTTTTTTTTCAATTTTAAAAAAATGAAAACTTTTAGTTTTTAAATGTAGTTAAATTTGGATGTAGGGAATAAAATAGTATTATTTTATATGAGGCCAGAAAAAAATTTCAAAAAAAACTTTGAAAATCCCCATAATATCCGAAAAACAAATAACTTGTAAGTTAATCATTTTACTTAGGTACCTGGTTTATTTCCTGATTTAGATGATTCACGTCGTTCTTTTCCCGTTTTAAATAACGTAGAAAATTAATTGAATTTTATAGAAGGCCTTAATTATACTCCCGATTGACCTGGTTATTAGCCTTTTATTACCCCTCTAAAAAAAATTGTATGGTATTAAAAAAATGCACAAATGTGAGTCAATGCATACATAATTATAAGAAAAAATGCTTTTTAGACATGAAATTGTATTGAACTATAATAATAAGTAATTTAATATATTTATTGGCTGTTAGCTTACTTTATTGTTTTTTTTATAATTTGATATAATCTATAATAATGATTGAGACCGTTTGACTCATAATAACATTGTTGTAAACAAGGATTATTCCTGAGAACTAACTAAATCTAACCAAACTTTCAGAAAACCCATCATGGAAACAAGGTATCCAAAATATTCTTCTCTCATACACATTTATTGATAAAAATTGTATACTTTTACGGTTTACATAACACAAACAAATTGTACCCTATTCCCCTCAAATATTATCCTACGCATATGCCTGTTCAATAAAAATTAAGTAAATAGATTCTGATTATCTATTCCGTAGAGACCGAAATTATATGCATTACAAATATGGTAAGTACGAAGTAAATATGTAAAAGAAAAGGATCAAAATATGCGCCAATACATACTAAAAATATTTTAAAATACGCTCCAATATGTGAATCAATATATAACACTTTTAAAAAAAAAGTATGCTAATTATTCAATTGTAATTTTATTTTAATCTTATTGTACTAACAAGTATAAAAAGAAATACATTTTTAGAGTAAATAAAAATTGTAAAATACAAAAGAATCTTGTATTTATTGATTTAAAAATAAAAAAAACTTAAATGAACATGAGACTTTTAGCATTAAAATCAGTAACCAAATTGTTTAATAACCGTGTATAAATATACCTACATAATATTACATATTACTTACCAAAAATTAAAAATTGTATAAATGAAGATATGAAATAATTTGATTTATTTACAAGTGTTAATCATTTAATAATTTTGTTTTTACTTTAGTATTTTATTTGACTGTGTACCAAGATTGTACAAAATATATATCTATATTATATACGCTTACGACAAAATATGCGCAAACCTTCTAAATATGCAATTATGTGCAAAATAAAATTCGGTCTATGGAATTAATTCGATTTGAAATGCTGACATTTCAAACCCTTAAATTGGTATATACTCTTAGTATGAACATGCAAATGCATATAATTCCAGTCTTTACTACTATACGTATGACCTAATAACTGCCTATTATCGGCTGATCCAGAACAAAATAACGGAAGAGGGCGATTTATAAAATGCATATAACATCAATATTTATGATGGAAATGAAACTAAAATTATATTTGGGGTCAAACAGCTAAAAGAGTGATTGCACCCACTCTAAATCCGTCACTGGTAATCGGTAACTAGAAGATAACGGTTAAAGAATTTATTTTTAATAAAACTATTCCGAATTTTTAAAATTTCTCTAAAAATATTTCAGTAACAATAATCAAAGCATACTCCGAAGACTCAAACTAAAGAGTACTAATAATTTTACCTTAAATAAGAAAGGTAACTCCGTCCCACGCACTTTAACTACTGTTTATCCACATGGATCGCGAACATATTCACGTTGATTATCACTGTACTATATTATAATAATACATACACCTATATTGGAGCCGTAGTACACAGTAATAATTTATATACCTCGACAGTGGTGGTGAGGGTAGGTAACCGCTACCGGGGTTGATTACTGCTACACGGCGGCGTATCGTTTCGGTTAGGTTAGATTGTCGACACGACAAACGAACAGCGACGACGGCACAGCGGAGGTGGTTGTACCAGCCAATTAGCAGTGTAGTAGCCGTAGGCCGTGGGCCACTACGACTATTGTTTGATCAGGTCGCAGACACGGTTGACAATAATATTATCGTATTATTATTATTATTATTATATAGTGGCAGAACGACGAAGATGATGCGCTCGGATAAATACAATAATAATAATATACCCGCCTGCAGCTGCGCATCAGCAACGCAGTCTATATTCTATACTAATACAATATAATATAGCTGTAGGGGCAAACGGCGCAATATTATTCGACCGACGAAAATTTGTTTACAAACATCCGTTACACCGGTGTTCGGGACGTTGCGTGTATATATTATTATTATCATTATCGTTATTATAATATTATAAGACGGCTGAGAACTAGAATCGCCTGGGTCCGCCGCATGCTGTTGTTGTCGACTGACGACGACTATATAATATGACGCGCGGATAATCCTCCGTTTGATGGCGTTTGACGGTAACCACGTAGTACTGTGAAATCGCATTGCGGCCAATCCGATTACGCCACGGTGGCCAACTCCGACAGGGGGCCGGGGTCTCTCGGACAAGTACAATTTAACAATTTAACAATAACTCACGTAAACACGATGGCCGTTGTTTTGCGCTTTTCTTCGGTGTCCGGGATCGATCGAGTTAGGTTCGATTAGGTTGGACCGCGACTGTGTGCCACTGTTGTAAGTGTGCGGGGTAATTGGGAAATTGGGCAATTGCATAACGTTAAATTTGATTCGTAACTGTAAGCAACGATAAACGATAGTTGATAACGAAAAACGATTCGAAATACGGATATATCTTTCAAAAAAATATGCTGCACGTGAATTTCTGGTAGAATAAACAAATCAAAGAAATTTAAAACAATGAAATCAATAAAACTGTAAATTTGTCAATATTTAAAAACCGGTTGGAAATTTTTTAATCCGACATTCTTACTCACAAGCAACAGAAAAAATCTATTTATAAAAAAATCTTGTTATTTTATGAATGAAGCAATATTCCCATGTAAAAAAATTACTGACGTAAAAATTTTTTTTAAAAAAAGCACACATTATAATTGCAAAACCAAAATATTTCTAATATTCCTTGTTACGCTCAGAAGCTTAAACATTCTTACAAAAAATACAAACACCGATTTTTCAAACTTTGCTTCAGTGTAATAGGCGTTCTTATTATTTGAAAATGGTATAGATTCTTCTTTCTCCATGACTTGCCCAAATCAACTCAATCTATCATTTTGTATACTATCGTAGTACTCATTCTTTATCCTATCGTATTTCATCACTCCTTCATACTTTTAAGCATTTTCAAAAAAAAATAAAACATATACTTCGCACAAGGGTGCAGTCACTGTTGTAGGGAAGTTGGGAAGGTAGGATACAGATAAACGATTACCAACGAAAAAATAATTCTAAGCAAAGTTCAGTTAATAATGATGCTAAGTATAGAATAAAGAAATATAATATAAAGATTAATAGTTAAAAGAATGTATTGAAATCGAATTATTTTATTTTAATATGGCTCGGTCTATACTCTATAGTATTGCTTTTTCAACTTTTATGTACATTTCCTTGATAACAATGATTGTTTAAAAACAATGACAAAACCAAATAAAAACTGTTGCCAGGGACAACCTTAATTTTAATCTTTCAATTTTTTTTAATTTAATGAACCAGGTTTTCTTCATTATTTTGAATATTAATGAGAATTTCTAAAAATTATTCCTCTAAATTTCCTTTCAGAAAGGTGCTTAACTCGATAATTGAAATAAGCTTTCGGTAGAAAAAGTGTTCAATTAAAAAAAAATAATTATATAACCAATACATTCCTCGCTCCACTCAGAATCTAAAATACATGTTATAATTTTAAATTTAAAAAACAATGTGGCCAAATACTTTTTAATATTGCCAAGTGGCTACACAATTAAATACTAATTACGCATTGCATTAATTAACTTCAAAAAACGGATAAAAACTAGTGTGTTTAACGTCATGATAAATCGGTGATAAATCGTATCATAATGATAACATGTTAAAAAGAAAAATGCTAGTTTAAAATTCATCTTCGGAGTTGCAATCAAATTTCTTAAAGTAGATAAAAAATTAATGTTCAACTTTGTTCAATTCGTTTAGGAAAAAAAATAGGTATGGGTATACGTATTATATAGTTTATGTATTTTTAATTAAATACCTACTATATTTTTAATCCGACAAAAAATTATATTGCGTAACGAAAAGTTTAACTCGATCGCGGCAAAATATAAGTTTTAAAATCGCATTTATAAATAAAGTTTACATACTTTTGTCTTATATTTTATTAGATAGGTATTGTATAGAAGAGGAATGGGAAATAAATATATAATTTGACGCCAAAATTGTTTTGGACTTCGCTGTAATTTTAGTAATTTATTACATAAATTACGCAACAATAATATTGTTGCCGGGCTAATTAATTTCGTATTCATTTATTAATGAAATACTAAAAATGTTTTTATAGTAGTATAAGGTTCACCTTTCCAAACATTTTTTTTAACTTAAAACATCGTTAAAAATATATTACAACATTTATATCCAAATAAAACGAAAACAAAAAAAAAGCTTATACTTCTGAGTTGAAAAGGTTTGTTATTGTAAATACATATTAAGTAATTTAATTTATATCTGTACACGACAATAAATCTTTGTAAACGAAATACAATTATAAACGGAGTTCGGTTAAACACGTTTTAAAATGCCTTGATTTTTACGAGATTTGTCGAAATTTAAACTTAAAATGCTTATAAAAACCATCTCTTAAACTCATCAACGAAGACAAAATTATCTTTTAGAAAAAATACTTCTCTTTAAATTTGAAGCTAGATTTTTAGTAGAAAACAAAATAAATCGAAAAACATAAAATAATGAAATCGTTTACGTTCCAACATTTTTCCGTCTTTTCCCGATTTTTCTCATATTATAAAAAAAACTACAAGGAAAATTAAAAACATAATCTCCACAATAATGCGACCAGACAGAATTTTCTGTCTGAGACCGCCCCTGAAGTTGGTTACCTGAACAAAATTTGGTAAAATTTTAAGTACAAAACGCGAAAAAAAATATGCATCATTACTATCAAAATACATTCGTCACATCGCTCAGTATCTAAAAGTAACAAAAATAAATTTCTTCGCGTGATTTGAACACAAATACCTATTAGTATAATAATAAATACCGTTTTGTGTTAATCGATAAAAGTTTATAAACTTTATGATATTGTACACTGACAATTTGTACTACCTATACACTCTAATGCACATCACGAAGAAAGTTAATTTTATTGACTAATCGAGTATACTGTTTGGATTTCGCTTTGTAAACAATTCCGTAATCTTATGCTTCACCGGTTGTATAATCATCACGACCGTTATGGATTAAACCTATCATGATCACAACAATTTTTAGATAGAAATTTGTTTGCAATCTCGATGAGGTTTAGGAGGGGTTGAACTTGAAGTACGACGTTAAAGAGGGACGAAGGGGGTTGAAAACAGTTAAATTTTCAATTTCTGAATTATTAATCAGAGTATTTATTTTACCTACACATAATAGTTTGCATATAAGAAATAAAAAGGAATTATTATTAAATAGGTAGTTATTGTCAAGCTATACAATTTTTTTAATTCTGAACGCGGCATATTGGTGTTACTATGATGTATTTTTTTATATTATTACATATTTTTTATTAGAAATATCGCTATGATTTTAAAGTCTAGCATTTTCTCTAAATTTATATTTCGTCTAAGTTAGTGCATTGAGGAAGTCATTTTTTGATTTTATTTGTAATTTTCCTAATAATTGGGAACAAATGGGAAACTTTACGGCATTTATTTTTTTTTTATTTTATTTTTTTGTTATAATTCAGTTGAAAATAATCGTAGATAGCTGTCATACTTATATAATACTAATATGGAGCATTTCCTTGTCTTGGTCAAATTTTCAAAATATCTTGGTGATTTGTAAGCTTATATGTATAGTCACTTGATATGTTTGGGTTATTTTTTTTTTTTTATTGGTCGAGCAGAAATACTTAAAAATTTAACATAAGTTTTATAAATTATACTAGGTGATCAAATAAAAAATAAATTGAATGTACCTAATGGAGTAGATTTTTTTATAAGCATTACAATTGCATATATTGATGAAAATCGGAAAATTATGCAATTTCAAAACACATTTAATGGAACTTCGCTCAGATACTGAGATACGTACTTCGTTAGCCATGATTCATCATTTCGTACAGATATAAATAATATAAATAAATGTATGTATTCTACCTTCTACATTTTCGACCTAAAACAGTCGCACACCCATCAATAGTATTACCTAGCTCTTTACTTTTTTTATTTAACGAAAGTTAGTATTAAAAAAAAAAAAGTCATCGATCTTAACGAGTATTGTTAGATTTCATAATATTTGTAAGTATTGTAAGTAGATAACGACATATTAAATGTATTACCTTTATTTTAATCAAATATTATAAGTAGAAAAAGTCGTATGTAAGTATGTGACTGTTTCACAATAGATATTTTTGGTTCGATTTAGTGAACAACCAATCATTTATGAGGATAAAAAATTGACGAGGTACGAAAGTTTAAACGAGATCGGTATAACTACGGTAAAACAACGTACTCCGCACCATCAATACAAACGAATAACAAACGAGGGATAAAAAATGTGTTATTTTATCGAGCGGATTTACAGTTGTCGGGATTCGGATTACACGACGTATTATCTGCTCGAAATGAAATGATAAATTACAGTCAATAAGCGTAGGTATGTGGTTAGGTATTAGGTGCAGAGTTCAAATTTGGGAGTTGGGGTAAACACCACGAAAACTACAGATGGTGCATTCGCGATGAATAAACAAAACATTTGACGTCATACATGAAAAAAGTGTTAGGTTAGGTCAGTCCTCTGGGCAGCTTCTGTATCAGTGGCTTATTTACAGGAGAGGGAGGTCCAAAAAAACTGGGTGCTAACCAGAGCAAAAAAAAAAATCAAATCAGATAAATATTCCTGCATTATATTTAAGTTATAAGTATAGTTATAGAATTATAAGTAATATAATCGTATCGTCGCGCTATATGATTTCCAAGCTGCGATTAAATGTATTAACTTTAAGGTTATACATTTATGATAAAGACTTAATTGCACGAAAAACCCGATTATTGATTTTAGGTTATATTATTATAAAAAAAATTGTAGCTACTAGGCTCTAATTACATGGAAATATTATAAATTTATCTTAAGTATATTATCATTGATATTAAGGGTAGGGTAGGTTATTAATAAAAGTACTCTTATTTACCATCACTATAATAATTGTATTATCTTCTACATTCTTACCTAAATACCGTCACTGAATTACAGTAATATTATAATTTTCGGCACGATTCAATATTATAAAATATATTCCCACCCTGACACTTTATTATTTCTATACTCTACGCTCGCTCATTTATCATTTTAAAATGACCACACGATTTTTAGTTTCAGGCGTTTTTTTTTTTTCTTTAGCTCTTTTTAAGTATTTTTAGGCCTACCTTATTATCTACCGAGTGAACGTTTGCAATAATATTGTTATACTAGAGGTATTTTAAAAGGAATAATAAAACGTGTCGATAGAAAACTATTGAATAAACATTGGTATTTTTATATATATAATGTCTGCATTTTTATTTACTCATTCACGGATTAACTTCGTTAAATAATTCACTAAAATGATACAAAAAACTATTTTTAAGTA